CTCCACTTGAGGTAAACTGGTAGGTTATTACTCGAAATATCAACATGTTCATCGTGAAGGAAATGGAGATGAAGTGATCTACTAATACATATGGTTTTAACAAAACAAAGAAAAGTTTTGCTGCAGCCTGCAGTGAATTTACTGTTTAGATGGTCATTAAAAGATTAATGAACACAACCAAAACATGTTTTATACGTTACAATTCAAATATTGTATTAAAAAATAATAATAGTCTAATTGTTAAGTTAAATGTAAGCCTATATTTAATGCAGCTCATACTTATGTTTCTCTGCAAACTGACAGGTTAAAATTTTTGTGACCTCAGGAAATCCAGTGAAACATAATGAACCTCTGTTAACATGTCTCCTCTTATTACTTGTGCGATCCTCCCTGAAATACACATACAATGAGGAGAGAGGCTCACTTTGCAAACACAAACATGAGCCTCAAACTGCGACTCCAGTCTGTTTGATAAATTCAGCGCATGTGTTTGAGCCAGAAATGCTTCATATCTGTGGCTGAAAAACTGCTGCAGAAGCTGCAGGAAATCTGGCTCTTAGTCTTGTTACTGCAGTTATTGGCCAGTGTGTCATATCTGAGATTTCTGTTGGATGAAAAAGTCAGAAATGGCTCTGACTGCAGCTGCTGTGCAGAGCAAGATGACAGTTTTGGGAGGAGTTGGACTTCACAACATGTTTCCAACTGCTTGTTGACTTTTACCTGCAGGTGAGAAGTGATCATGTTGCTCCGATCTACGTCATCAACCTTCTCATTACCGACCTCCTTCAGCTCTGCTACATGATCGTTGATGTAGCACAACATGGGATGATGCATACCAGCGCCTTTTATATTTACCTCTCTGGTCTGATTGCTAGTGTTGGCTTCATGGTCTGCGTCGCCCTGGAAAGGTATCTGTCTGTCTATCCAGTACTGAACATTGAACAGTACTGAACATTATATTAATTTATAACTCTGAAGCTCCTCAAAGACTTTGTGTCCATCTTGTATTACAGGTATTTGGTCATCGCCCACCCCGCTGTGGTACCGCTTCAGACGAACCATCAAGACCTCTGTGGCGGTCTGTGTCCTGGTCTGGGCCATTCCTCTTGTATATTTTCTCACTTTGCATGTCTGCCATGTTTATGTGCTAGAATCAATACTCTTTGCCGTCATTTTCCTCCTTCCCTTCCCACTGTTAATCTTCTTCCTGGTTGGGACCCTCAGAGCCCTGTCTGCTTCCATCTCTGTCCCCTCTGATGAAAAACGAAGAATTGTGGGAATTTTGGTTCTGGTGCTGCTTATTTACACGCTGCTGTTCCTGCCCACCATCATTTGTTATCTGGGAGTATTTGACTATGACGAGCACCTCTTGTTCCTGCCTTTCATCTTTGTTAGGTTGAGTCCTCTTGCAGACTTGGTCCTGTATGTCTTCATGAGGAAAGGGGTCATAGACAAGCTTTTGGCCTCTGTGTGTTGTTGCAGAATAGATAGCAAAGATATCAGCAGTCCATCAGTATGAATGCATCTTAAGACGTGTTCATGCACATTTTAACTTAGTTGTTTACTTTTCTTTGTTAGTAATAATGATAAATAAAGTAATGTATTTTTACCCCAAACTGTGTGTATTTTTTATTATTTTTGTACAGATGAGAAACAAACCGCATATTGTTTGCTTATCTTTATTTCATATAAGTTTAATTTTTGTTTCTTCAGTTGTGTGCATGCTAGTTTTTAGGATGTGATTAAAATTAAAAGCTTTTTTATTTATTTTTACGGTTGTGCTTAGCAATATGGACAAAATCTTTTTATATGAAATTGTACATTTTCTGGAAATCCAATAAAAAAATCTGTTTCTTGGCAAAACTGTGAACGTTTGTCTTTGACCAGCTCACTAAATCAAAACCTGAAAAATTAAGGTTTAACTAAAACCACAGTGATGTGGAGTTTGTTGAAAAAATTAGTTTCTCTAATACTCCAGACACGTATTTGTTTACTCTTCTTTTCCCATAATCCTTAGTGTTGGGTGTTGTTATAGCAGAAGATTGTTCTCTTACATTTAATCTTTCATGTATGATCTTTTAATATTATTATTATTTCTATTATTGTTATGGCTTATAGATATATATGTATTGTATTTTTATCCTTCACCTTCCCTTCTTCTATACTCCTTATGTTAGTCCGTCCACATTTACTAGGGTTTAGGTCAGAGCTGTGAGATTGTTTTGGTGTTTTCCACTTCTTGATGTTCCTCTCCTCTCCTGGAATGTTCATTCAAGGCTGAGAGAGGATCTCTGTTCCCCAAAACATAGAAACCTAGACTGTGCAAATGATTATGCATCCCTTTGCTCGGGGCCAGACGCCCAAAGCTTCCCTAGGAAGTAGCAGGTCTCTGGATCAGCTGTAAATGTATTTTAGTACTCTTTTTTATTAATAAATTCTTTAAAGACAACGGTTGGTTGTTACTCAATTATTTGCTTAATCCCTCACCCGCAAGATACATTTCCATGACAGGTGTTCTTCCTGGATCTTGTGGCTATTTTCACAAAGGTCTAGTTTGGATATCCACAAGCTTTTAAGTGCTTTTATGTTCCTTTTCTTGGGCTTGGGCACTTGTTGGTATGTCATCAGATCTGATGAACTCTATGCTCCAGAGGGTGGTGAGAGTTAAAGAGTGTGTGTATTGGTCTGTGTGTGTGTGTGTGTGTGTTGGGTTTATTAATGAGGTAAACAGCTGCCCACATGTCATTACTACAGAGGTTGTTTCATTTTTGTAATAAGTGTGCTTATAATGTGGATATTTCACCCCACTGAATATAATTTTGCTGACACAATATCTTTGCAGGGTTTTGCCATTTCTTATTAAATAATCTTTAGGTGCTTTTTAAGGATCTTAAGGCTACAGGGAAAGAGTTCCAGAGCCTAGGAGCCACAACGCTAAAAGCACAGTCACCTCTTGTTGTGGGAATATTTAAGAGGTCTTGGGCTGAAGACCTCAAAGACTGACCACTGGTGTTTGCATGTCATAGGCCCTGAATGTATGAGTCAGCTTGACCGTGCAAGGCTCTGTAAGTGATGACTTTGATGAATTTTAAAATGCACACTGATGCCAAGAGGAAGCCAGTGACCGGCCTCTAGCACAGAAGTAATGTGCGACCTGCTGGTCCCAGTCTAAAGCCTTGCAGCTGCATTCTGTACAATTTGTCAGCTTATGAATGATTTGTTCAAACAAGGGTGCAGTACATTTATTTTATCACATACAAACGTGATAAAATAAAAGCATGAATAAGCAGCTCCATCTTTTTTTGAAACAACAACCCAACATTCTTTTCTATTAGACCACATCACATAGCTGCCAAGTTTCTTTATGTAAAAAACAAAAAAAATGGCTGACATTCCTTTTATTCTCAGTACAACATGCAATATTTTAAGATAGTTTCAGCATTAATGTGTTTTGATAACATTTCTAGTAAAATACATTTGCTTCATTTTCATAACCTCATTCCAAATCTCGATCTCCTCTGTGACTGACCTCACTTGTTGGGCTTTATATTTTGGAAGCGAATGTACAACATTGTGGTCCGATGCGCCAATTGGTGGACGACACACAGCTCTGAATGCGTCAGGTATATTTCCATAACTGTTGAGGGAGCGTAGATTTGATCTTATTTTAGCAAATTCCCTTTCATTGTTACAGCCATCCCCAGCTAGTGATCCAAATCGCCCCAGGATGTAACAATGCAACTCTTTTGTATTTGATACTAACTCACATATCCTGTGATTGTGTGGTAGTTGTCCAAGTGAGTTGTATTTGTAAAAACCAGATATCGATAGTATGTATCAAAATTTGAGAGACCTGGCACAAACAACCACTGAGTTACTGATGCCAAAGTCCTTATCTGCTGACGCTCAAACAAAAAGGTGTTCTGTGTTATTTTCAATTAAACATTTCATTTTTTTTTTTTTTGCATATCATCACATTGATTTTGGTTTCCTTTCACATTTTACATGGCATGCCAACTTTTTTTGGAAACATAGTTTGTACATACATAGTTTGTTTTGCAGCTTACAATCTTTTTAAGTTTTGTTCATTAAACCGGATACTTTTAACATATACTGTCTCATAACTATACTGACTTAACTACATCACACAATCAAAGCTTCAGCTGTCAAAAAAAACTTTATTCACCATATTTTAAAACAATATTGAAAACAAATATCCAAAAAAGGAAGAATGAAAAACAGAACTGAAAAAGCATACCAGTGTGGTGGATCATAAGCTTTAGTTTAAAAAAAAACAAAACACAATTTAAAACTCTTCAGTATAAACATAATGACACCATTCTGTTTTCCTTTTGTTCCTGGCATGCTTCACCCGCTCTGCTGCAAAATAAAATACTGTGGTCACCAAGCAGTTTTGGGATTAGCTTTGTAGAGACCGTAGTCTTCTTTCCGGAAAAAGGCCACTTCTGTTTCATTTGCTGAAACGACAAACACAAAAATGTTTACGCTGTGATCAAACTATACTTTCTGCAACAGTTCATTGATATAAGTCTAATTCATAGACTTATTATTGGAAAATATTTTATTAGACTTCTATTATTGCCCTCAGTATCATTACAGGACATTACAACATATAATATATTTATATTTACAATTTTATTTTATTTACAATTATTTTATAAACAAATATTACAGACACATACTGTCGATCAGGCTGAATGCATCTTTGCAAATTATGCATCTAGACCATTTCCATGGTTTCCATGGAGCAAACAGACAATGTTAAGGTTTTGATGTACTCAGTTAAAGCACTGGTAAGTTACAATATACAACATGTATTCATAAGCACACATAAGCGCAATGATAAATATTAATAAATATTTATGTGTATTTTTGATGGACAAATGAGATAAGAATGTCTTCAGAAAGTGTAAATAACACCTGATTAAAAAATATCATGCATCATCATCATCCGTTCAAATCTAATCCAACAGGCCTGGAAGAGATCGTCCCTTCATAACTGTTCTAAAGTTTGTTTCAGAGAGGTGAAAATTCAACTTTATGGTAATTCTGAAAGCTACAGATTGTGGTGCTGTTGAACTGCACTGTATTATTCTGACGGGTGTTTTAACATCTGTCCACTTCTATCAATGACATAAAATACATAAAATGCACATAATAACCATCATGACAGAAATTTCATTTGTGTTTCAAGACATTTTTTTATTTTTTTTATTAATGACAAACTCTTACCAACACCAGCAGCTCTAAGGGTTTGGCCATCTTGCAGAATTAACTTTTCATCATCATCTAAACTCATCACCAACTCATTAGTCTGTCAAAAAAACAACAGAATTCCATTATATGCATTTGTAAAACATAAAACCAAGGTGAAAAACTTCAGTTTTCCAACTATAATACAATGATATACACACACACACACACACACACACACATATATTATTTACCCTAGGATTTTTTCCGAAACTACTAGTGTCGTGGAGCGGGCGTATTACGGATCCGTGGGTCGTCATCGACGTTCTCCGTTGACATTTTTACTGCTAACGTAACTACCTCTCGATGGAGCTTGCTATTGTTATGCTACATTCACAAATTGTACGATCAGACCATGGATTGAGCCTTGTGAAAATTCAAGCCCGATTCAGCTTTATTTTTTCCAAAGTTCTTTGTTTTACGTTTAAATTATTTGGAATTCTGTGTTTTACACTTTAAGCACATTCCGTCATAAGAAAGAGTAAAATCATGTGGTGATTCATGAAAATATGACAAATTGAATCAATATCAATTAATTTGATTACAATGATTACAATGAATGTATTACAACAGTAGGATATAAAAACAGACAGCCTCCATATTCTGCTGAACACATGGTATAAGTGGGTCTGACAGAGGCAACTCTCACATGGGCAGCGCTTCCCATTTATAAAGTAATTATTTTTTTACCAATCACTATGCGATTAATTTTTCATTCAAGCTCTTTACCTTCTGTATTATTCAAAACGGACAAGCAGTAAATCCGTGTGTAGTACGACCAACACAATATTAGCTATATTAAACATACACTCTTCTTTCTAGTGGGTCAGGCTGTGTTTGATGAAATTATCAGGAATGCATGAATTATTAGTATGAGCTATGGTGGAGAAGAAATATAAAATTTTAATAATACGAGAAAGATAATTTGAGAGTCAAGTCATTAAATTTATATGATATTATATCCTCAGGTCGGCCTACCTACAGACCACAAGAACAACTAAGTTTACCACAGTGTGTTATACAGTAAGTGCTCAATACAACACTAAAGTTTCTGTAGTTGCAGCTTCTGTCAAGCTTAAGGCCGTTGTACAACAACAAGTCAAGGTACAGCTTAATGTGCAAAGTTGATGCTTCGTCTTCAGACTGCTTTCCTCTTGGGTGTCATGTGACCAGAGCGTAATCGCAGCCTTTGCGATTAGAAAATCTCATTTTATCACATTGCGATAATATCGCAAATGCAATTAATCGCTCAGCCCTATCAAGTACCGTTCCAATTAAAGTCCACAGTCCAAATGACCTGACGTGTGTGTTTTTGCTCGTACTGTTTTATCAACTGTACTTTGGGAGCTTACTCTTGCGGCCTTGGGATAGCAGGTATTCCAGAATGCATTATGTACCGACCTCGGCAGTGGTGGAAATTTTGAGCCAGGCTCTAAACTGTAATCATAAGTTTTGTTGTTGTTTTTGTTCAAGAAAGAAAGTACCCATTTTGAACCTTAATATGTGGTCACTTTGCCCAAATAATGCCTATTTGGAAGTTTGCTTCCAGAGGCCAGTTGAGACCATCCGCACATCTCAGGTTATGTCAGTATTGAATAGCTCGGCCCCGAGACGGCTGGCCGGCCTCTGTCCGTTGTCATCCTGGGTAGAACTGTCTTATCTCGCATCTTTTAAACCGCAGATTCCTACCATCTCTATAGCGCTTTAATAGACGATACAATTTCTTCTTGAAGATAAATTTAATTTAAATTAATGTTATCTGAGAGTTTAAATGTAATATTTGTTGCCCCTGCCTGCTCTTACATTGCTCTGCTTCTGCTCAGAGTCAGACTGTGAGATTGCACTCAGATATGTTGTTCCTTGCACAGATTGTGAGCATTGGGGCAGTTATTACATATACCTGTAAACACACTTTTTACTAAAATGGCTACATACTGTATAACAGTAACTAGGGCTGAACAATTTTGGAAAATAATGTAATTGCAATTTTTTTTAATCAATATTGCGATTTAATATGCGATTAATTTTTAAGCTCTTTACCTTCTATATTAATCAAAATGGACAAACAGTAAATCAGTTTATAGTATGACCAACATATAACATACACTGTTCTTTCTTGTGGGTCAGGCCTGTCTTATGATGAATTAGGTAGAATTATTATTATTATGAGCAAATGTGGAGAGGATATGTTATAATAATATGAGAAAGATAATTTGAGTCAAGTCGTGGCATTAAATAATATGATATAATATCATCAGGTCGGCCTACCTACAGACCACAAGAAAAAAATAAGTTTACCAGTGTGTTATACAGTAGGCGCTCCAGACAAAACGTGGAGTTCAACCACATATTAATGTGTCCTTATCTCAGTTCTAATCTCCTCCATCCCAGCAAGCAAACAAAAAATACTCAGTTTGGGGTTCAATTCAGAAGTTGGCAGCCTTTGCGATTAGAAAATCTCGTTTTATTAAATAGCGATAATATTGCAAATGCAATTAATTGTTCAGCCCTAAAAGTAACTGTATATCATAGCAGAGAAAATATACGCCACACTCATACATTTGTTTGTCTCAAAGCAAAATTAAGGTTCATGTCTTTACTGAACAGAACAGCAGTGCTGCGTCTGCAGACTTTGAAGTCCCTATGTAGTGTTTGCAGATATCACCAGATTTCAATAAATAATAAAAAAACAACAAAAAAACCAAACCTATAAATACATGATGATGAATAAAGGCAGTGTGATCTATATTTCAATATTATATCTGTCAGTCGACCAGTGACACACTATTTTTAGTTTCTGCCACAGCAGTGTGATATACACCTTTTTTGCTATACATACCTTTGCTCCGTGTGCTTGGTGGATAATCTTCATTGTGTCTGAAATTATACGAGAACCATTTGCCAGATGCCATAGAGTGAACGCACATAAAATTACAACCTTGTGGGAAGGACTCATTTAGCTGCCTTTAGCTGTTTCTCGCTGTAGATCAAAATTAATCAAATACACAATTTAAATAGGTAACTTATGATGGGTAAGTGGTTTACATTGATGCTACGAAATAAATATGATAAAAAAAAACAAGTGTACAGGTTTGTTTAACATGTCTAACATGGTCCCACAGGATCTCAGACCATCTGATGGATAATGGACTATTATTAGGAAAAAAAAACTGATTTATCACACTCCATAACGCTAATGCAAATCATGCCGGGCATACATACCATAAGCATATTTCTTGAAAGGAGGAGGAAGCCCTGGTCTTGTTGCAATATCTGGAAGAGAATGGAGGTTTTACAACTACTTTAGCTTCTAGTTAACTTGATTACTAGAAAAAAACCACCCAGCCACAGACTGTTCACCATGGTGCAAATTATACAATGAAAACCAGGGGGGGTCGAATTATACAATGACAACCGGGGGGGGGGGGTCGAATTATACAATGACAACCCCAGGTCATAAGTGCCCCATAAGTCACGGCCCAGATCCTCAAGTATTCTAGAGCAAAACTGCCAGAAAGTCAGACCCTCACACACACACAGCAGACCATAATTTATGCTCAAACACAGACCAACGCAATACTGAACCAGAACCAAAGTTTTAAGTTACAACTTAGTCTTTTTTTTTTTTAGCAAATATCTCCTTTCCTTTTGCTCATGTTGACCGTGAATGAAATATAATCTGTGTTCAATAAAGCCGTCATCATACATTGTTGGGGAAATGGGAATTGTTGTGTCTCTGTAAATAATATTAAACAGAGTACCTACTGTCTAGACCTGCTCTATAAGAAATGTGCAATGAGATGACTTTTGTTACGAATTGGTGCTATATAAATAAAAATTAAAACATTTGAAATAACAAACCTGGACTTTAACATTTACCTGGCCAGGTAAAATTCATGAATCCCACAGTGAAAACAAATACCATGCTTATTGCAAAAAAGTTATGCTAATTAAGAAACTGAAGGTAGGAAAGTTACATCAGAATCAGATCAGAAAGCTTTATTGTCATTGAAAGTAGCTCAAGAAGGTTTGAGTGCAATTCCCCTCAATGTACAGTCATTAAAGATTAAGTGTATTAAACAAGCTGCATAACTCCTGACATTAACCTGCAGTGTCTCCATTCATGCACTGCCTGGAGCAGCAGCAGCGAGTGATGCAGACAGACAAGACGTTCAACTAACGTCAAGGTTGGAAAATGGTGGCCCATTTTAGGAGTGTCTGTAATTTTATTTCAAGATTCTTGACTATAAGGCATGATTATGGGAAATATATTGTAATATTTACAGATACAGATAAGACAGACCCCGCTGAACTCTCGTTTTTGCCTCTTTTGAAGGGTTTATTTGTATTATAATTTTAAATATTTGCACGTCATGTGAGCAGGCGTTCATTTAGTTGAGAAAGCTCTTTGTTGCAGAATAATAATGTGGCTTGAACCTTGAATATGATGATGACATGTGACAAACCTGCCGTCCTGTTTACTTACCGTCCCTGACGAGCTGAATGAAGTCATGTACCTTTTGGTCAACGTCGACCCCGTGAAACACCACTGGTTTAAAGTTTCTGTGCTCGAAGGACCTGACCAGGCGAACAGTGACCACGGCTGCACCTGCCATGTCCTGCTGCTGGACCCGCGGCTGGACCCGCTGCCCCCTTTAACTCTGATAACGTGAGTTTAGTCGCTCTTCCTGTAAACGCTGGCGTGTTGAGTTGTTTAGCAGAAGCTTTTTCTTCTTCTGCAGCTTCTTCTACGCTTCTAGGCGTATTACTGCCCTCTTCAGGAAGTCACTATGACGATAATCTGATGATCTCTTCTGTAAAATGCTCCTTTCTATATTTTGTAGCATTTTCAGTAAAATATGCTCAAATGTTCCCACACTCACAAAGCCCATTAGGATGCTTTCTTATGATATATAAAGACTGATTCAATCCACAATGGCCAAGTCTCAACAACCTACAGATTTTAACAGAATCTCTTCTGGATCCATAACAATGCCCGGCTTTTTTTAACCTGAGATTGCAAAGAGTAATGTCTCCCCTTGGCCATTCCCGTTCAATACCCTGTTTTAATGTTTTATTTTGCTTCCACTCTTCCCAATGATATATTTATATCTGTTTAATCTGCAGTAATCTGCAGATTAAACATGTGCAACAGACCTCGGAGTCTTACCATCATGGTTAGGTAGATGCCAGAGAATACAGCTGAACCAAACTGTCAAATCCAAGCAGACACATATAAGCTAATTTTGAGCCGAATGAGCAGGGTTTTTGCATGCAACATGAATTTAGATATTTTATCCATATTGCCAAGCACACAACAGTTGTTGCAAAATACCAGTTCTGAATCACGTCAAACTAGCATGAGTAGCCACTAAAACACTTATATTAAATAAAGATAAACAAACATAATGTGGTTTTCATATATGACAAAAAAGCGGGAAAAGAAAATGTAGATTTTGATAGAATAGCTGTGATGAGGAAAAGTAAACAACTAAATTAAAATGTACCAAACCAAAAAATGTCAATAAAGACTTGTTAATATGCCCTTCTTTGTGCCAAACAACAAAAACAAATACAGCTACAAACTAATCAAAACACATTTATTTGTTGAATACATCACAGTGAACCAGAGCAAGTTTACTAAAACATTTCAGTTTTCCCAGTTAAAACAGTGCTTCCTGTTACCTTCACTTAGATGTCTTATTGGAAATCCTATCAGTAGATGACGGTATCTCTATCCTTTCTATTGGCCTCCATTTCTCCTCCTGTTTCCTCCCCTTTCTCTCTCTCCCTCTTTCTCTGCCTACAGGAAGCTGACTGTGGAAATATTGTCATCATTCATACTGATGGACTGCTGATCTCATTGCTGTCCATTCTGCAGCAACACACAGAGGCCAAAAGCTTGTCTATGACCCCTTTCCTCATGAAGACATACAGGACTAAGTCTGCAAGAGGATTCAACCTAACAAAGATGACATACAGATGTCTGAAGGTAATGTTATTTCTTGCTTCGTTTGACAGGTACCCAATGATGCTGGGCATGAAAAGCAACGTGTAATTAAGCAACACCAGGACCAAAATTCCCACAATTCGTCGTTTTTCATCAGAGGGTACCGAGATGGAAGCAGACAGTGTTTTGAGGGTCCCAACCAGGAAGAATATTAGCAGTGGGAAGGGAAGGAGGAGGAAAATGCCAGAGACAGTTTGTGGGACCTTAGGATTAACCTCAAATAAGAAAATGAAGAAAAAGAAAAGAGGAAGGGTCCAGACCACAATACACACCACCACAGAGAACTTGATGGTTCGTTTGAAGCGGTACCACATTGGGCAGGCGATGACCAAATACCTGTAATTCAAAGAAAAACACAGTCTTTGAGGAGCTTCAGAGTTACTAAACTAATACAATGTTCAGACACAGAAGGAGCTCCACACATACTAGATAGACAGACAGATACCTTTCCAGGGCAACACAGACCATGAAGCCAACACTGGCCATCAGAGCAGAAAGATAAATATCAATGAAGATGTCAGCTATCTTCAGATCTTTAAGTGGTACCACCTGAACGATCATGCAGCAGAGCTGGATGAGGTCGGTAATGAGAAGGTTGATGACGTAGATCGGAGCAACATGATCACTTCTCACCTGCAGGAAAACATTGGTAAAAGTAAACAAGCAGTTGTGAACATGTTGTGAAGTCCACCTCCTCCAAAATATGTCTTATTACTCTGCCCAATCACTGCAGTAACAAGACTAAGAGCCAGATTTCCTGCAGCTTCTGCAGCAGTTTTTCAGCCACAGATATGAAGCCTTCTGGCTCAAACACATGAGCTGAATTTATCAAACAGACTGGAGTCGCAAGTTGTGTGTCATGTTTGTGTTTGCAAGAGCCTTTCTCCTCATGAAGTTATTATAATTAAGGTTCAGGAGCAAGACCATGCCTCACTCTCTCTCACTAATCCAACCACTCGTGCTTCACTCTTTTCATCCACCTGTGCCTCTTTAATCCAATCACCTGCTCATACGTATATAAGCCTGTCAAACCCCTTTCTCTCTCGTTTGTTTCAGTTCTCACGACTGTTTGTATAGACTCAGACACACACACCCAACTACTTAAAAGTTATTGTTATAAAGTTATACTTAATTTAATATGGATCACGAGCTCGTTCTCAGCGCCTCGGACAGCGATCTGTATTGACGATCAGTCCTTGGTCTCCGAATCTCCTCTGTCCATAGTTACATCCACTCCCACGCGGCCAGCCACTCATCATCCGCGACCATCCTCCGTTATCCAAGTTTCTCAGCACCGCAACATCCACTATTCTCCGTCCAGCAGCTCCAGCCTGACTCCACCAAGCACATACAGAGGACGCAGCTGCCATCGCCAACCTTCAGGAGAAGTCTGGTCCTCCAGGCACCTGACAGTTTCACAGTGCCTCCATCTCATACCATCCCCAAATCACCTACCCTCCTATCAAAAAACATTGCACCCCATGGTCAGCCCACGGTCTGATTCTTCAGGAATTTGACAAAAATGATTTGCAATAACTTTAATGATTTAGGTAGCAATGTTTCAAGTTGCCGTTTCCTCCACACCTGTTCTTTTTGTGCCAGTGCCCACGGCAGAATCAGTTGCCCCCATAACCCCACCCAGCACAATTTCTGACCACGCAGGTACCTCAAAACACCGATACCATCATCCACGCCGTAGAATCCGCCCTGAAGCCCATCCCACCGCCAGTCCGTCAACTTCCTCATCCACAATTTCAATTCCGGTTTCCATCCATGCATCATGGTTATACCTGATCCATCATAATCATAAGTCCACCCTCGCCAAGCCTATACAGTGGCCAAGGTCTGAGCCAAAGATGTTGACAACGGATACACGATAGGTCGATTCACCAACCCCCCCCCTTCCTGATTAATTACACCAGCCATATCAGCACCACCACCAGGACTAACTTTCCCCCACGGCACCACGGCACCAAGCACCAATAGCCTCATCTTCAGTCCAGATCTTTTCATGCACTGCACAACCAACTCACACGACATCAACCTCAACCATCTTGCCGGCCACCTGCCTGGTCGGCTTAATCCGACAACTACCGGCGCTTCAAAGGCGTTGCCCACACGCCATGATTTCTGGAGTTTCCTTTGTTCAGCTTTTCTTGGAATGTTTCATATTACTTAACCATCCGCTCCACATTCGGGTGTCGAGCAGCACTAAGATACTTGATCCACTTCCTTTGAAGCCTCCTTCCCAACCTGACTTCACCATATTCCATAAATCCATCATATTTCTCCGTAGATTCCAAACTACCTCCTCTACCGTTGTACCAAACACCAATTTCTCTCCCTAATTGGATACCTAAATCTTGCCATTCGCATCATCCCACAAGGCCGATCCTTCCCTTCCCACTTACCACGACCCAATCTGCCTCAGTTTCGCCTCTTCATGATCACGTTGTACTCGGCAACACTTGTAAATGTTACTGAGATTGCGGCACAACTTCTTTTCTTCTCAAAATGGCCTCTCTAGACTTTACAACAACCACTCAACCCAACCCGAAGACGGCAGTTACTACGGTGGCAGATTGTTCACCTCACAGTTGCCGGCGGTACCTTACACCCTTTCCCCCTCCCTCCACAAGCCGTACCCCACAGTCATTGCTGCTATTCTTTGGGGGCTCACGTGGTACACAAAGCGATTCTTGGTTGCACCAAAACCCTCTCTTTGTGCCATCCAGGACGGTGAAGTCAAAAACTTTAACTCTTCTTTCCGCCTGCCATTCCCTTACATCGACATTGCATCACCAACCACTTTCACCACAATTACTCAGTTCTCAAATCAAACATCCACCATACGCATCTACTTTTGTGGTTAAACTCCTTCATCAGACTCATTACAGAGCTCCTGCCTCTAACATCTCTTACCCCCCACATTAACACATTACTCATTTTCGCTTAGCCCAGCAACACATTTTTTGGGGGTCATACAGCAAGACGCTTATAGAGACGTGCCCCGACCCCCCGGTTCCTAGCCACACCGGCCACCACAACCTGATCAAACCCCTTCATCCATACCTTCTCGACCCCTTCATCCTATCCTAGCCATTGGCTAATTTATTAATAATTATGCTTAAGATTATATAATAATTTTATGAGTGACATGAGTAATAGCATACCAGTTTTTGTGGAGTTGATGACCAAATTGAATATTTATTTATATACCATAGTATGAAATGTGACTACTGAGCTCTCCCTCACTCACAGGATGCGTCTGGAGGGCAATACAAGGTGCTGACTGCATAATGACCTGCTGTTTTAGTAAATGAGACACTGAATACACACAGATTACGACCACAGACTCAATGAAAACCGCAGCGCACATTTGCACAATACAATTTTCTTAGGAAATCAGGCATAGTCTACCACCATGCAAACAGTCATGTGAGGCTACTTAGACATAGTGGTTCTTTGAACTAAATGTTAATATGCTGATGTTTGGCAGGTAATGTGTACCATGTTACATGTTTAGGGTGTTAGCATGCTAAAATCTGCTAGTTAGGACAAACACAAAGTACAGCTGAGGCTGGTAGGAATGTCATTAGTTTTGACATATTTAGTCATAAACCAAAGTATTGGACAAATCAAACATTTTGACCTGATCATGGCACTAGATGAAAAGTCAGGGGATCACAAAAGGTATTATGATTCAACCACTGGGCTCCATGAATGTCTGTATGTATGTAATGTCTGTAATGTATAATTTTTGTTTATGGCAATCCATCCGATAGTTTTCGAGACATTTTATTGAAAAACAAAAACATCAATCTGATGGTGGCACTAAAGGAAACGTCAAGGGACATAAAAAGGTCAGTAGGCTTCATCCTCTGGGGAATATGAAAGTCTACAACATTTCACACGTTACTTGATTGTTTAATAAAAAACCCAAATAATGAGCCCAAATAATGCTGTGCAAATCGCTCTGATAAACGTGACGACTATTTTCTACTTGAGTTTCAACCAGTGCCATTAACCTCAGCAGTTGAAGAGAAGGCTGGAATGGAGCCATACATGTAAACTGCATGTGCTTAGGGTCTAATCAGCTTCATCCATCCATACATCCATCGTCAACTGCTTATCCTGCTCATCCCTTTGTCCCAGCCCAAAAGCCAGATCAAGATCCTTTACAGACAGACAGACAGACAGACAGACTGTAAGACAGACAAAGACAGGAAATACATAAATCTGTTATAAATTACATACCAGAGAATAATGACCATATATGGCCAAGAGGGTCAAAGGAAGGCCGATACAAATGATTATGTATGTCCCCACATTCATGATGGATGCAACTCCTCCATTAAATTCATAGGTTTCAAAGATGATGTTGTGATAGTAGTCAGAGGTGCTGTTGCTGCTATTCTTGTTGTCAGAGGTGGTGTTGCTGTAATTGTTGTTGTCCGAGGTGGTTTTGCTGTAATTCTGGTAGTTGGAGGTGATGTTACTGTAATCATTGCTTTTGTCCCGTGGGCTGCTATTACTGAAGAAATCTTCCATTCTTCAGAGTGAAACCTGTTGTTTGAGAGATCAGGAGGCAGGTTTAAAGTTTTAAGCTTTAAGTTGAAGTTCAACAAATACAGTGCACCTATAGTATACCAATAATAATGTCAAATAAAGAAATGTGTCATATTTTCAGTTTATATTGTAATTCCTCAACATTTGTTACATTATCTGCTAATAATATTTAATCAAAAAATAGAGTTTCCGATAGGATGCGCTGGTGATAAATATTTAGCCCCTCTGCCCTCTGACTGATTGATCCACTTGATGAACCATCTGCATATTGTATTGTATATATACCCGAACCTGCCAGGAGACTTTTAATCAACATCTCAGCTGTCAAGATTTCCTTGAAAACTACAAACATCACTATAAAAACCTCAGTGGATTAATGTTGGGTCAGAACAATAGACGTAGTAATAATAATAATATTACCATAATCACAATAATAATAGTAATAACGATGAGTTTCTTGTTCATAGATTTCACACTTACTTATGCCTGCTCATATAATTTTCTTTCATTATTTTTATCTCATTTTATTTTATTCCAAAAAAGATATATTTTTGCATGTTTGTTTGTTTGTTGCTATTTTCTAAAACTGCTTTTTTGTCTTTGCTTCACAATGACATGCTTGTATTTTTTATAATCAGAAAGGGAAGGTAAGAGAGTGAAACCAGAACAGTCTCTGTTCAAGTGCTCATGGATAAATTGTTCTGGATCCTGACATGACTGCCTGCCTTCACATAGCTGCAACATTATAGCAAAATAATGGCTCAGAAAGTAACATAAAATAGTATGTTTTTTCACTTAAAATATTCCAAAACCAATTAAAAAGTAGACTCTATAGTAAAAGTGATCCCCTGTCCTGTTGATCATGATTTGTCCTCTAGTGTTTTGTGATGTTGTTGAAACTGTCATGATGATGTTTTGCTAACTTTGTGTCAGGTTAAAAAAAGATGAACAATTTACAAATTATAAATCAGTAAGATGATGAAAATGACATACATCAATCATAATCAGTCTTTTTATGCATTTACTGTATATGAGAATAGAGCTATACTTAAATATGTAGTAGTATAAATGTGCAGCCCAAAGTCATTTCCCTGGTGCTTTTTTTCAGTTGTACAAAACTGATTGGTTAATCAGACAGAGTTACTGTTAAATGCTACTCTACACAACCCTGCTGATGTTTCTATTTTTTCATGTGTGACTTAAAATGTAAATTGGTAAAATGTGAATATTTCACTATAAATGTAATGTAAATGACCCCCCCCCCTCCCCCAACAAAGCCACTTGAAAACTTGTGTCCCCCAAAAATTCAGTGTTTCTTCTTGTAAACTCTTTTGTCCCATAAATGTACCAGTTTATTCTCAGAGGATATCCCAGAGTATCCAGTGAGGTAGCATTTGTTGTGAGGAGCTACAGAGATAACGTGCCAACATGTGCATGTAGCACAGTATGTAATGTAAACACTTACAGTGACTACCAGGATGTGGGGGTGGAAACAACAACACATAAGATGATGTGAAACATTAGTCAAGCAATTATATTTGGTTAAAAGGCAACTAATAAACCCAGTAAAGCAATCAATCGTACAGTTGCCACGCTCCCCGTGTGTTATCCTGACAACACATTAGTTTCGACAGACCAGATTACAAACAGATTATCTGTTTGGAAACCTTTTAATGCTGTAAAGCATATTGTATAACTTTTATTGTGATCTGTCAGCACTGAAATCAAGTTTGACTGTGAAAAATAAATGTTTTGTGTTGCAGTATTTTATTTTTCAGTTAAAGACGTATGAGGTTTTTGAAGTAGCAAAAAACAACAACAGCAATTTCATATCCCTAATAGGCTTTTTTATGTTCTTTGGAGTGTCACCTTTGCCCTTATATTAGTTGTATTCAAGAAAAAAGCTTTAATGTCCATGCTTAGAATGGCAGAAATGTAGCTACCTAGAAAGAAATAACCATATTTCACTAGAATACCACATATTTGATGCATCACGAGTACAAACTGGATCTGCGTTGTTGTTTTTTTCCTGTCAGTGATAATATTCAGTATTCATACAACAAGTAATTATGAATTGCCTGATTAAATTTTGTAAAATATTGAAAATGTGGGATAAGAAGCCTCATTCAGCACAACAGGTGACATTGTGATATAACATGACACTTTTGTTGTGCTGAAGGACAAAAGCGTGACTTTTAGATACACTATGTAATCCATTATTTTATATGTTGCTGTTAACACCAACACAATTATGACATGGGTGTTCATTTATATTTTAGGATGAATTTCTACATTTTGACACTTTAGAGCTCAATAACTTAATTGAATAGTTTTCAACACAAATACTTCAGTGTCAAAAGAAGTAGTAAAGGATTACTAGCAATACTTTATTGACCCTCCTAAATGCAAGTTTTTCTCATAACCTGTTTAAACAAGTACATAAAACCTTTGTGAAAGAACATTATATATTTGTCAAATACCACACTAGTTTACTAGTATATTTAAAAATGACCAATGACCAAAATGACCAAAACCCCAAACACTTTATTCATAGCCAGTGAAAAGGACATTTACATGTTGCAATTCTGATGTGAAGCTGAGGAGTCCAACAGTGTGTCTGTGTGGCGGGTCAGTCTGCATCCCTTGTTGGAGGTAACTGTGTTTGTTGACCTGTAACAGTTGGAGGTTAACCAGTTAGAGGTTACTCCAACATCATCTGTGTGTGGTTATGGCAACAGCCACACACAGAGCAATAATATATTAAATCAATCACTGAGGAAAGTGGTTACACAGGACATTTCACTTTGAGTATAACTGGCTAAGTTGGTTATTATAAGGTCCTGTTGCAAAAACTGACAGTGTCCAAATGAGACTATGTTGTCTCAACAAGTCTTTATACCTAAACGACTCCCAAAACGACATATATGACCATTGAAAAGTACCAGCGACAGGTGTACCGCACATTAAATACGTGATGTCACATGAAAGTACACGTGGTTAACATTGGGAAATGTAGTAAAATGCAGTTTGGTTAGGTTTACGCAACAAAACTATGTGGTTAGGTTTAGGAGAATTTGTTTGGGGTTGAAATACTCACAATGTAAGTCGCCTACGTTTTTTAACTTTTTAAATAAGTCACTGTTGAACTTTGTCTCCTCCTGTGTTTGTTTCGACCCATACATCCAACACAATGAACTCCTAATGCAGACTTTGTCGCTCTTATAATTACAACGACCAGTAGACGTCTCAACCTGACAATAAACATAAATATGGGTTGGAATATGCTGCTGCACCGTTGACCTGGCAGTTTTTCTGGTGACGGGTTGTGTTGTTTATACAATGTGAGTAGGTTTGCCAACTTCCTTACAACCAAATAAGGGACAAGGTGTCACAGTGGTGTGGGTATGGTGTTGTATGAATATAAAGTATATATATTCATATTCTTGTTCAATTGGAAAGTCAAAGAAAATGTAGATTCCATTAGTCTATAGCTTTATTAAAATAATATTATTATGTTAGGTTATGTGATGAATACATTATCAAATAAATTACATTTTGGAGCTTTACAGCAACCACTCCAAACGACAAAAATGCGGAAAACGGGCCACAGTTATTGTGACGAGATGAGAATTGATGAAATTTGGGACAGGGAAGTCAGGAGTAGGCGTGGCCAGGACAGGAGTCGGGACAACTGCTCATAATTCGTGACTGTCACAAATTTTTCGGGGTGTCTGGTCACCCTAGCTGCAGTAGATGTCACCAAGAATATTGCTTTCACTTTTAGCTAGTTGTACATTTGAATGCATGCTGAGTAAAGTCATTCTCACCTCCATGGTCAACAGTGAATTCCCAATAGCATAATGTACAGACGGCCTTTGTGGAGTCACTGCTGACGTACGGGCTTAACCCGTTTTTGCTTCTCTTGATTGTTGTAGTTGCAGTCTTCTTTTTTGCAGTTATATCCATATTTGAAACATGCTAAACATGCTAAACCTAGGCTAAACATCAGGCATCAAAGAAACCAGGTTTTTTTACAGGAATTTCTATATGTACACTTTACGAACAACTGATTTACATGAAGAGGCCTGTGATTGGATGACAGGTGATGACAGCATATGATCTGCTACTGCTGCTGTATCAGATCTAGGATCTGTAAAAACAAATTTTTCACACTTAGCTATATTGTTACTTTTAGGACATGTCTATCAAGTAAATTTACATGCAGCAGCAACACATTCCCCTTTTAACTGGCAAGGATCCCAGAGCAGAAGGGGCTTCTGTGTTTTAACAAAGCTAACATTAGCTGAGTTAGCACTGCAGTATCAAGATCCACAAACAGCAACATGAAAAACCAGACGCGTCCAATCTACTACAACTGTTATTTAGTTGGCTTTAAATCAGATGTAATGTTAAAACACTTTCTTTTCACAGTCCCTCAGTATTACAACATTAGTCCCACATCGCCCTAACCTGTGGGAGTAACGTTACAATAGATGCTAGCTACATTGGCCACACAACATGGTAATGCCAAATCCAACAGGCTGATCTTAAAAATATACACTAAAACAGCATAAAACATTGCAAAACTTACAGCTTCCAAGTTTGAAGTCAGGTTTCGGACAGCGGGTATTGAACCAATACCTGCCCTTGTTGAGAAAGTAGTCCAGAGGAAAATAAATCAGAAATAAATGTTAACCACACAGCTCTTCTGTCCCCTGAGGCGCGGGGCACGGGGGTCCTTGTAGTGATTTTTGCTGGTCTATGCAGTCAACAACAGAGAAATTCCTGCGCTTAAGTTTGCTCTTTAAGTTTTATACTCTGAAAGCAGTCCAAAGCGAAGTATTCAGTTTTTGTGGGGACATTTCCATCAAAAATAAAGTCAATCCACTGGGTCTTCACTTTCTCAGATGGTGAGATGGTATGTAAGACCTTGCAGCCAAAAACAGAGCTATTAGTGTTCTTTGTTCATCTTCCACATACTC